ACTTCTCAGAGCCAAGAATAACCCCTCCCTTCAACCCCAGACCTTTGTCTTCCTTTAGAGAGGAGTGGGATGGGAGAAAGCCTGGGCAGCATCGGGCTGTACCCCTTTCTAAATAGCTCCAGAAAAGGGGTCCCCAACACAGAATGCAGAGACAAGGCCAGCAGTCAGTAAAGGACAGTCCAGCCACTGTCCTGTGCTGGTCCCACTCCCCAGGGACTAGAGGGGAGGTTTCTGGCTGGGGCTGCAGGGAAACTTCTTCTGGATCAGAGACGTTGTCCTGGACCAATGGGAATCTCAGGATACCTGGTGCCTTATCTCAGCCTCTCACTGAGAACTGTCCCCAGTATTCTGTCCCTAAATTAAAAGGTCAAGGAGTGGCCTGTCTTACAGGTGACAACTTCCACTGAATCAGTGCTTATCAAATGCCAATTCTTGGATGTGGTAACTAAGAACCTGCAGGGTGTATTTTTTGACAAGGGAGGTGCTGGGGGAAGTCATGAGCTGTCCAGTGGCTCTGACCTGTCCCTTAATTTTCTGGAGGTACAGAGGGACCCAAGCCCTGCCCACGGCTGCCAGTGGCCAGGGATATCTGCTCAGGATTCTCTCTGGTGTAGGAAAAACTTCACCATGGGTGTCTGGATTAGTGCAGAATCACACTCAAATAATAAGAGTCACAGAAGAGTCTCGTTTTAATAATTACAAACTCTAGTTCACTGTAGAAATCAAAAGTGCAAGCCAATTCCAGACTGTCTCCATCCCACTTCCACCCCAAAATATGCAGCCTCCCAGTTGATTCTGTTCCTCTTTATTAGGTTCCTGAGGTACACAGGAGGGAGGGCAGGCACCCTCCTCTGGAATTCCTACCATGCTGTTATCCAAAAAATGTTTTCTCAACTGCCAACCATCCTTTCCCTGCCTGTTCACCTGCTAAGGAGGGATTGGGTTAAGGATCTTGTGTTTCCAGGCACTCAGAGTCCTGGCAGGTCAGAGGTCTCATTAGGAAAACTTGCATCTAGGTGTCTTGTCCCCAAGACAGGAGAAAGCATTCCATGTTGACCTCCTTCCTGGGAATGGTGGACAGAGTGTCACAAAGTCCCTGACTTAGAAAGGAGGAGAGGAGGAAACATTGTATTTCAAGAGAAAAAGTCTCTCATTGGGTGGGAAATATTTTTACAGGGGAAATGGCTAAAAGTAGAGCTCTAGGTTGAGCTTCTGGGGAAGGGGAGAGCACTAGACACTTTACTCCTTGGGTTTACATGGGGTGCACCTGTGAACCCACTGCCTATGGCTCTGCAGGTGCTCAGAAAGGTGAAGTCTCACTGCTGAGCTGCGCCTGCTGTCACAGGAAGAGGACTCTGTGGCTTTCAGGGGTGAGAGCTTCAGGGTAGGGGCGCCCCACCTTGCCACCACCCTTGCCTGCTCTATTGGGCAATTTCCCTGCCATAGGAATGGCGAGTGTGCCACCCTGCTGGCCCTGGCCATCTGCACTTCCAGGCGATTGGAAGGTCAGGCATGGGAAAGTGAATTGTGAGTCACCATCAACTTGATGCTCTACAGAATTAAAAAATAATCAAGGCTTTCACACCCATTGGATGAGCAGAAAATGACAGAGTCTGATGCTACCAAGTATAGCAGGACAATGGGGACTTTCACATGCTGCTGGTCAGAGTTGGCAAGGTTCAGGTTTAGCCTGAAGCTTACTGATGCAGTTTGAGGAACTTCTTTATAAAGTACTACAAAATTAGACAGTCTTATCTGGAGTTTGATTCAAGTTTACCAGCTTCCTGGTAAACCTGTCACTAAGAAATGTGAATCAGAATAACCCTTTGGGACAGATGTGTGTATCCATAACCCAGAAAGCTAAATCTTCTATGGATTTGGGAGAAATTCCCAGCAGCAATGACAAGGATGTTCTTGGCAACAGCTAAACATAACAAATCAGAAATAGCCAAAACCTCCACCAACCAAAGAATGGATAACCAGTATCAACACATCTAAATCTCCACCATCATGCTGTGTGTGGCAAAGGATATGTGCAATGAGATGTAATTTTCAGAAAGTATGAAAGTGTATAAACAACACCCTGTTCATGATCTATGTGTAGTTAAGCCTAAAGCATGTTTGGGGTGGTGAATGTTACTTTCAGCTTAGGGGCTTTCCTGAGGGTGAAAGAAGCACAGAGAGTAAGACAAGGGTGGGTTACCCAGTGGGCTCATTACTTCTTTAATGATAAAAAGTGAACAAGGCAAAATATGAAGCCTTGACAAAGTAGGACAATAATTACATAGGTATCTAATAAAATATATGCACCTGCATGTTGTTATTTGAGTCCCTGCTTTGAAATCTATGGTTATATTCCTGGGCGAGGAACTGCTGTGTCATAGAGCAATTTTTTGAGCAATCACCGAACTGTTTCCCAGTGGTTGAACCATTTTATAGTCCTACTAGCAATGCACAATGCACAATGCTGGATAATACTTATTCTTTCCTTTTTGTTTTAAACTTTTATTGCTAGTTTTGCTCCTGGGCCTATTTTTAACCCAACAGACATAGGTTGTGAGGTGGTATCTTGATGTGGTTTTGACTTCTGTTCCTTGATGACTAATGTAGTTGAGCATTTTTCCTAATTTTTTTTGGCCATTTATATTTCTTCTTTAGAGAAACATCTATTCAAGTCATTTGTCTACTTTTTAATTAGTTTGCTTGCCTTGTTGTTATTGAATTGTAATATTATGTAATGTAAGAAAACCCTCCTCAGGGTGGCTCAGTCTCTTCCAGCCCTTTAATTCTCCAGGCCTTTCACACATCAAAGCCCATACAGCTTCATACATATGAGCCGCATGACAGAAATCTGAAGACCTGGAGGCTGCCCTCTCCTCTTCCCTGCCAGGCACCCTGTGAGCCCTCACTGAATCTCAAGAGGAAGAAAAAGGCTCACAGATGACAAGAGAGACATCCAAAGCCTCTTGGGAAGTGACATGGGGATGTCAGGGCAGAGGAGCATCAATTGAGGTGAAAGAGAAACAATTTTCAAGACAAAAGAGATGTGTTTCTGGTAATGGGAAATGATTTCTTCTAGAAACCCATATGACTGCAGTTCACAAAATCATGGTAGAGAAATAAGTTTCCACTAACACAGTGCAGAGATTTCTCACACCCCCAACTCTGCAAGGATGCGGCTGGGGTAGTCAAGTAGGATCCTTCTGTCCCCCTTGCACTGATTAGCTCTCCCTGCCTGGCTGGGCTGTTCTGCCTGCAGGGCCACTCCTGCCCCACACTGAGCCAAGAGGAGGCAGAAAGCATACTGGGAGGGTGTCCCTTCTGTGAAGCTCACCTACGTCACATGCCATCGCTTGACCTCAGCCCTCTTGAGAGTCTTGAGGGAGGGAGAGAGTTGGGGTTGCACAAAAGCCCACAGTCCAACTACCACACTCCTGTGATTCTTGCTATCACACCCCAAGAAGCTACGAAGACAGGGTAAGTTGCTCATGGGTAAATTTAAGAGATTTTAAGATCTTCCCCTCCTCCTGATCAAATCTCACCATGAAACTTTCACCATTCTCCCACACCAAGACTTTCAGAAATCCAATCTTAGACAAACACATGCTTAGAGATGACACAGAGAAGCACTCCGAGGGGCCACTTGAGGGAAGAATGACCCATTGGTGCTTCTGTTGTGGTCTGGTGCCCTGTGAGGGAACCTGTGTTAAACATTCAGCTGGTGTTGCTCCAGGCTCTGCCAGACAACCTTGAACAGGGAAGGAGTTCAAGGGTCAAGCCCCTCCCCACTTCCTCCCTGGATTTTTCTGTCTGTAAGTGTTGGTAGTAGGCTCTGCAATTTCTTCTAAATGCCACTTCCGTGATTGTGATTATGCCCAGGACTTGGAGTCACTCTGGATACACTCAGATTTAGTTCAACTGAACTCACACCACAAACTAACACTCAAATGTTTGACGCCAAACAATTGTGCCTCCCCCCACTTGCCCCTTCCCCCCAAACCCACAACCTGTTCTCTTTGGTGCCCTCCCCCTCACCCCCCACCCTACACCCTATCAGACAAAAAGTCCAGGTGGAAGTTTGAACCACTGGCTTTCCGAATTTTCCTTCCCATTCAACTCTGAGCACTGCCACTTGTGCCGTGGGTGGGTGCACACAGGCAAAGGTGTCTCTTCGCCCACGGCGAAATCACACTGGCTTCTCAGTCAGCATCAGTGGCCCCCCGGGGAGCCGAGGCTGAAGCCTCCAGACAGTGTGAGTACTTTACCAAGAGCCCATAGAGCGCGAGTCTTCCGCAGGCCCTACATCCCCAGGTGCGGCTGGGTAGCTGCAGGGTTATGGGATCAACCTCGGGCACAGACACCTCTCCTCTGCTCAAGGTCAGCCTAGGCAGGCGGACGTCCCCCACCGGTTCCCTTTGTCCCCTCTCATACCGGGCAGGGCACCGAACAAATGGTGACCCTTATTATTTCCCAGTCAAACCTGTAGCAAATATATTTCACTCGCCAGAAATTTTAAGGCTAGATTAGAATATAATCTGAATTCAACTCCTAATCTCTAAATCTCGGTTAGCAATACTAAGGTTACTTTTGTCCATTCTTTGTTAAAAAACAAAACAAAACAAAAAACAAACCCTCTCCCTTGACAAAGCTGGGCAACTTGGAGAGGACTTTGCCCTCCTCCAACAGGGCGCAGCGCGGGGAGGCGCTTCCTGGGCATCGCAGGGGCGAAGCGAGTAGAGTAGGTGCGCGGCCCCTGACACCAGCGCGGACAGGGGACCCCTCCTTGCCCTTCCTTCTGACCCGGGTGCGAATTGGATTTTTCCACATAAGGGACTGTTTCCCTCATTGTCATTGATGTAGAAAGGCAGGCCGGGAGGAGGGGAGCACTCTCCAGGCTCGGAACCCCGAACCCCGAGTCCACTCCCTGGACCCTCCCTGAAAGCCGCATCCCCGAGGGCGCCCGTGGCGCCGCTCCTCCCCTCCCCTCCACAGGCACTCACAAACTCAAAGATGAAGAGCAAGTCAGGGAAGGTGGTGAAGACCGAGAAGCCACTGGGCAGGGTGCTGCCACCCGAAGCCGCTGCGGGGGG